TTTCATTTTGATTACGCCGGTTTACGAAAACTCGTTTGTGCCGTGTTTCAAGCGCCATACCTCGGCAACAAAACGAATCAAGATAATGCCCGCGTTATTGTAATAACGTCGCTCCTTTCCGTGAACCAAAACACGCCGATATTTAATTTTAAAGCAGTCGCCTATTTGGGTCAATGCGATGCAAAACCATTTTCAGCTGGCTTTTCTATAAGGAAGACGAAGCATTTAAGCATTCTCGTGAAATTTGTTCGATTTGGACGAACGATCTTGGATTATTTTTAAAAATTGTAAAGGGATCATTAAAGAATGATATCGAAGTGTAGTTTAATCGTGAAAAGTAATAATTTGTAACATCTGTTGGGATATTGTCGCAGTGACATTTCGATTGATCGCTTAAACACGAAACATACGAAAGTTTTTATCGATAATAGTTATTCGATGTTGTTAATCATTTCGTACGTAAAGAAAAGAATCATATCCACAAAAACTGAATAAGAATTTTTCAGCTCAAAAATAAAGATATATAAAGTATTAATATATATTTATTTATTGTCTTGTAAGTATTTTAAATTTACATTAGATGAAACGAGACAGTCAAAATAAGATGGGTCTATCTTCTAAAACTAATTTTCAAAGAGAGAAAGATTAGAGAATTGAAATTTGTTTTTTTTCCATTTACCATTGACGATGTGGACGTGCACACTGCTCGAGTGGGTATTGCTCGGCGAGCATGTGTACAGGCCGGCGTCTCTGTCGATCGCCTTCTGGATTAGCAAACGGCTGGAAGTCACGGGTCCCTTCTCCGTGACCAAGCTGATCCCGCCCCTCGGTGAGTCGAAGTTAATCGCCTGCGAAACAGAAAAGAAGACAGACAGAGCGCGCCTAGCATTACCTCGTGGCTGAAACCGAATAGAGCCACTCCAGACGAGGGGGAGAACAAGTGTCTTCTCCGAGTGGCGAGATCCATTCCAATGGAACAAATGCCTTTAAAACACGTTCCCGTACTGAAGATCCCGTACTCTTCAACCTTACCGCTACCATTCTCTTTCGTATTTTTAAGTAAACGGGCGCGGTTGATAACAATGCAACTAAATGGATGTTTTATTTTATTCTTCATTTTTATTATGTAGATGATTTTTTTTTTTTTTTTATGAATTTAATTCAGCCTTGAGATTTATTTGTTCGTCACGCTATTATAGATAAATGTTATTATTGGTTTGACCAAGACAAAAGTTGGAGAATAGTTAGACGTCAATTTTCTAAGTAAATCAATATTTTTTTTTTTTCATTCGCTAAGAGAATAATTTTATATTAGATAAATGATCTGTTATTGGTTTGATCAAGAGTTTTGAATTTTTTTAAATGTTGAAGAAACATCAGATTTTGTAACTTTTTTTTTTGATGAATATATTTGCTAATACGTTTTGAAATTTGTTTGTTATTCGCATGCAACAATATCACAATAATAAATAAATGATTCTTTATTAATTAGAGCTATTGGTTTGACGTTCTAAGTATTTTTAAATAGAATATTTTACTGTCATGGATAATGTTGCATGGAATTGGATCATTTATAATTTGTCGAATAATTGAGAATGAATTTTGAAAAAAATGTATCAAATTTCGTCGTCTCACGATAATAAAATTATATATCATAACACTTGCGATCTCGAAATTTTGGCTTCCTTTTCTAGCTCATCGAACGTCTATATATACAAAAAAAAAAAAAAAAAAAAATTGCAATACCTCGTCTTAATTGATCGAGATAACCACTCGCCCAATCCACCGCTGTCTCTCTTCGTTTTCGACGAACGAATCTCGACGAATTAAAATAGGAACGAGATACAAGCCGAAAAAGACATAAAATAAGAAAAAAAAAAGACAACTCGTTCACGATATGTTCCACCCGTGTCACTTCTTCAATTGTTCGTAATAAACGAAGATGAGAAGAAGGGGGTTTGGTTACAATAGGGTTTTCCTCCGATAGATGATAAATCATCATGGTTGACGAAGGGCCATCCTCGGCCCTCAATCAATACCAGATTTATCCGAGTCGTGAATAATTTACGTTCCAGCTATCTTTATTTACGCGCCTGCCCTCCAACGCATCGTTGTCCAGGAACAATCGCGAGCTTGTTAGCCGACTTCATAAATAACTCGGTTCGTAGGAACGCTTTCGACTGGTGCACACCGGTAATCGATATCATAGGATAACAATGGATAGCCACGTGTGTGTGTACATGCATACATACGTATAATCCGTGTACCAGTGATTCTTTTTAAAAGGAAAGAAGAGAGAAAATATCGATTATTAGAAAGTAGTGATTATTATTATTATTATTATTATTATTATTATTATTATTATTATTATTATTATTATTATTATTACTCTGCTATTATTCTTTCCTGATCAATTTTAATAAAATGAATCTCGAAACTCGAGTAATTTTGTTTCGAAATAGAAAGTTTAAGAGAGAAAAAAAAAGATTCCGAGAGCGGCGATAAAAATTCGATTAAAAATCTGAAGAGGAAACAGAGGAGATTATTTCACTTTGACAAAAGCTTTGGGAATAGCAAATTTGCAAGTTGGACACTTTTAATTTCGATTAAAAGTCTAAGAGATGGAGAGAAATAACTCTTTGCCCTCGAGGCTTTTTTCGAACAACGGACAAACTCGAGACGATTTTCCGTATTTCCGTATAAAACTTTTATATTTCGATATTTTACGTATCTTTACGTATAAAGAAAGTAAATTTGTCGAATATTAAAGTCTGTATCGTTATTTCGCGCGATATTTTATAATGTCTTTCATTTTACTTATTTTGTCAAAAGAAAACTTTATAATCCTTAACTCCTATTATACGTAACATTCACCGTCTGTTATTCTTATTTTTTGCCTTTTCTTTATACCTCTTGTTTCGTCTCTATCTTCGTCACTGCTCTCCCGCTCTCTCTATCGTCAATTTCTTCAAACTCATACTCGCTCGAGACTAATCATCGCCACGTTCCACGCTTACAAAAAGTTTGAAAATAATATTGAATTGTGTGAAACTCAGACCAATGTAGTCCGATCCTCGACCACGATCTAATTTGAGATAAGAAAATCCACCTATTCGACGTTATATTGTTCTATGTTTCGTAAGAGGTTAAGAATTTATTCACAAAGACGATATTCTGAAAGAAAATGAATCGTAAAATAAATATTATCGCTGTTCGAATTCAAGTGATACCTGAGAGGAACGTGCATTCGAGTGCAAAAGGTTAAAAGACATACGCAAATAGGAAATTTGAAAACGATTCGGAGATCTTGCCTAAAAATATTCAGCTTACTTCGTGATCGTGGCTCCAAACGATCGTGGACGGTGGCTCGGGAGCGTATCTGACCAGGCACGTCAGGTTTATCGTACTGTCCTTGTTGATGAACAGATCCGGCCCTCCGGCGATCTCTGTGACCGGCTCTGCAATCAATAGATTCAAAACACTTTCGTATTTCGAGAAATGAAACATGATAGATGATTGGTTTTTAATTATACAAGAGTCTAATTTTTTCTGATAAAAATTGCGCGATAAATTCATTGAAATTGTGATCGAAGAATATACGTTAAAAGCGTATATAGATACAGAGAACTGGATTAAACTAAAAGAAATGGGACACGCGAGAGGGAGAGAGAGAGAGAGAAAACTCTCGAATGGTCATGCATCAACCACGGTGGTGAAAGGTTTTATATTCATTATTTCGCTCCATGTCTAAACGTACATTTATAAATCGCGTGGAAATTATTGTTTTTTTCCACGCAATATTTCTCGATTTGTTGGATATAGTGTCCAGCTATTCGATCCGATATCCGTTTTTATTTTAAAGCTAGAATTTAGTTTAAAAAATCGGTGGATTCTTAATTAAAATGGAAAAATTCCATTAATTCTGGATAACTTTTGGCCGAACGAATTAACTTTCCAGATTCTTAAATCACTTAAGAGATTCGACCGAGAAATTCAAATCTGAATTTTTTTATATATTTATCTATCTTGCGAAAAGTAAAAAAAGATTTTTATCATTATCATCATCATGCGCAGATATATTTTCTAAATTTTTATCCATTTTTCGTGGTTTTTTATCGTAAAATATTTCATTCGAAGTAAAAGTACTCATACGTGATTCTAAGAAAATTTGAATTTACTTTGAAGAATTTTCAGTTCTTCTCTATTTTCCATTTTCAACTGGAAATATTTTTTATAATGTGACATAAAGTATTAAAATTTAAATATTTCGAAAACTTGATAAAAAATTGATTTGAAATTTCAAAGATTGATTTTGACTATACATTAAAATCCAAATTAAACAATTTTTACCAATTAACGACGAAAAACATAGTTTCGAGGCCTTTGACTTTCTCTCTTCTGTCGCGGTCGAATTCAATCTTATCGTTGGACGCAGGGAGGGGGAAGGTCGGTCGGGATAAAATCCAATAACGTTCTCGAGGATCTCTGGATGCGATATATATCTCGAAGGGAAGACTCGACCGAGGGAATACCGATTGGATCGATCGGTGCAAGGGAACTTTACTCTCCTTACGAGAAGAATTCGCGTCGCGTACAATCAACGAAAGGCCGGGGCTACTTTGGAATGCGTCCACTCGTTCGTCGGTGGATCGTTTATTGAACCGTTTTGATCGAACGTCTCCAAACGTTGTTCTGCAAACGTGTTACCGCGATACGAAATTAAATAAATTTCCGGAGAACGAGCAATTCAGCTTCGAGAATCTTAAACCGACCAGTTTTTACTTCATTTCTAACAGAGAGGGTAAGAAGTTTCTGAAGAATGAGCGAATATCCATCGTCGAAATATCTTATTTTTGCTATTTTTCGTTGTAATATTCAAAGTCAAGGCTTGTTTAAGAAGTTTTGCAAAGAAGTACTATTTATTTGAAATTCATAACATGAAATAATGGAAATCTTGGGAAAAGTTTATTGTAAATATATTTTTGTTTCCTTTTTCTTTTTTTCTTTTTTGTATCTTAAATCGTAGATATTTCTCTTAATAATTATTATTTTTGCAGTATTCTAAATATTTTGAAGCATACTCTAGAACAAAAAAAGTCATATAATGAAATATATAATATATATATAATAATACATAAAAAATATTAAACTTTCAAAATTTGAATTTATAAATTTCTCGATAAATTTTTATGAGAAATATCGCAAACTAATAAAAAAATAATCTTTTTCATTTTATAAATTCATAAATTTCACGTAATTTACAATGATATAATTTCTCTATAAAACGTTTTTATTATACAAAAATAATTTTGGAAGAAGAAATTTAAATTTGATTAAAGAACTATATCATACTTTTATTAAAAATAATATTAAAAAAAAAATTAAGATTCTTTAAAGCCACTTCTTATTGCTCAATCATCGTATGGTTGTCACACGAGAAGAAGCACGATGTCTTAAGCGTTCGATATCGAGTTCGGATTATCTGACAAGCTCGGGTTCCGGATTTCCTCAGTTTGCTGGCCAACTTTAGGATCTGTGCTGCCAACTCGAAGACCTTCATTTCCTCTGTCCTTCGACTGTTGAATGCGCCGCAATATCCACGATACAACATAACGATTTACGGATGTTTCATAAAACTGTCGTTCCACTTATCGAAGTGGAACGAAACAAAATTCGTTACATGGTTACATTTAATTTATAAGCTATAAGCCAATCAAATATTTAACTAAAAATTCAAACTCTTAAATCGTTAATCCAATTCGAACGAAGAGAATTAAAATAAACGTTTCATCATAGACGAACTATTACATACCAATTAAATGTGAATTATTTTTTTTCCAATATCGATAATACTGTTTTTTTTTTTTTTATTGAATGGTGTTTGTGACAGAACTCTTTGTTATTTATAATTCGTGAGCATCGACAATTTTAGCGAATACTTGTGATAAAGAATGTTTCACAATTAATGTTAAATTAAAAGAAGCATTTTGAATATTGTTAAAAACGAATCATATAATACTATATATCTATATTCTGTTTCACTTCTCTTTTATTTTATTTTAAAAAGTGCCCCTTCAAACTATATATACAAATCATAAATGTAATACGATCTTTATGATTTGTTTTCAAACATTTTCGTACATAAACTCCACGTGTTGTCGCTGCTGGAAAGAAGCTCGCAGGACGGCACAAGGGCAAGAGAAGTCCTTCGCTAGAACCATTTATCCCCACTTCACACGCTTTGTTGACGTTCTTGACACACGCTACATAGCAACAGAAGAGCTATAATTTGAACATTCAAAGTCCTAAAAATTATTTTCATTTACGAACTTACGTTAGGAAATATTTTATATATACAATTATTATATTAATTCCTCGAATACAAAATTATATTTATAAATTAATTATAAATTATTATTAAATTATTATTATAAATTATTTTATAAATTAAAATTATCGTTACAAATCCTAATTAGCTTATTACGCATATTACGAGAAAAAATTGTCTATATCGATACATTAGGATTCTTTAGATTCTATGATGATGTATCGAGATTTAAATATAGATTGTCGTTTTGAATTAATATATATATATGACAAATACCATAATAAAAACAAAATTTTACAATTTGAAAATTACATCCCGCGCTCGTGAAACTTCTTTTACCAAACACAAAAATAATAATAATAATAATAATAATAATAATAAATCAGAATGTAATTTCAAAGTAAAATAAGAATTATCTTCGAATCGAATTTATAATTGCATCGTGATGTTCGAGTTAAAGCAAACTCGAAGCTATCGGATGTAGTAAAATTCAGATTTCACTGAACGGAACGATTGTTTGAGTTCCGCGTCGGAGGATCCTCGAAATTTGGTCGGAGGGGATGGAGCAAACATTGACAATAGTAATCATGTTGTCGGTGCGGTCTTGTTATTCCCCGTGGCATTTTGGGAGGAATAACAGGTTTATCCATTCGCCCTCCGTCGGCCGAGAGAGGAGAAAGAGACTCAGGGTGGGGGGAAAGGCAACAGGGATTCCTCGAGTTTCTCGAATTCTCTTTGGCAAGTCATGATTTGCTGACCAACCCGGTGTTCCACCTTCAATTTTCGACCACGTTCCCTTAAGAGCCAGATCCTGCGCATTCTTGGACAAATACGTCCTCCTGTAAACGAAGTTGCTTCTCTAGGTGGCGGAGAGAGGCAAATTGCTTCGTACGACGTCAGCTTACCGCTCGAGTAAATTGGTTTCTTCTTTCGGGGACACGTGAGAATCTTGTCTTATAAGATTCAAAACGAAAGTGAAATTATATTCGTTTTTCTGGGAAAAATTGAAAAGCGAAGTTCGGTTTGGTTCTCGTATTTGTATTTGAACAGAGATGGCGCTCGAGACAATAATAAGAGGTTAGGTAATAGTAGACACAAGGCAAGATTAGTCCTTTAGGTAATTATCCAATGTAGTGTATTCAATAACAGGGCCTGAGATTTGAAACCTCCATTCCTCAGCATTCTCTAAGTGAACAACAAAGCAATGCAAGGAGGATCTAAACGAATCTTCATGCTTTTGTTAATCTTGTTATCCGTTTTCCCTTCTTCATTACCTATGACTAATTGCTCGAATCTTTTATTCTGCAGTAGTTTTACTTTTAGCAGCATTGTCTTTAGACAATCAGTCGTCTAAAGCATTGCTCATAATATTGAATTGATATTGAAATCTGAAATCTTAATTTCAGAATCCTTACTCTTAAACACAAGCAATTATAGCAATTATAGGTCCAAAGTTTTGTGCCTCCACTCTGCTAATTTGCAGTGCTTAGTTTTATTCTCGGCACTGGTCAACCACGAGCAATAGGCTGAATATAATAGTCTGAAATTTTCATTCCACTAATTTCGCCGTTCCCAGGCCAGTTTCTCGTAGCATTATTCATGGACAGGCGTGTGGACAACGTATAATGGCCTCTAATTTCGCTTCCCGTGAGCTTTGTCCTCGGCATCGCCCGCTGAAACCTCGCCCACGACCACCAAGTGCTGGCACCCACATGACGTAAAATCTCTCTCTCTCTCTCTCTCTCTCTCTC